CTCCTCATTGAGGGGAAAGATTCCAGAGCAAGTCACCGCTGAACCTTTAGCAATAGACTTCTACCATGGTCCTACATGCTTTGTCACTTGTGAGAAATTACAGCTCTTGAAAATATATGGCACTTCAGCTGTTGCTTCTTGAAATTAATGAAATTGCTTTCATTCATTGGAGCCTCTGTAGAAAGAGCAATGTTGGCCTGTGGCTAACAAACTTTCTACTTCGGACAGGTTGCACTGTTAGCCAGGCTTATCAGAGAGGCTGCATCTTTCTGCAGACAAATTAGACTTTGTGGCTTTTGGTTTGGTCTTCGCAAAGTATTCAGTGGCTGAACCGACTTGATATGTATTTTTTGGGTTAGCAGATTGGCTTTATATTGTGAGAGTCAGTGATGATTACAGAGATCCTAATCTTATATTGCAGTACAATACAACAAATTCCTATTTCAAAGGAGGCTTTCATAATGTGGGTGTACTACTCAAATTGCCTGTTCTCTGATCTAAGCCCCAAATAAAACTAATTGTCACAGCAATCCTTATATCCTGGTTCCCTCCTCATATAATAGCTATAATAAAAACAAACTTTTAGTATCAAAAATCTACCTCTTTGTCCAGTTGCATTTTCCTTCATGTCAGAGGTTAGTGAGATAGTCATAGAAGAGTTGGGTAAAGGTTAATTTTCTTCTCCTGTTTACTGACTAATCTTAAAATCCCAGACGTTAGAGGAAGTAAAGAGCAATTTCAAAGTCATTTTGCTGAGAACTCTGAGGATACTTCATCACTGTTATTATTATTGCAATTGTTAATGCTTCCCCCCCTATGGATATGTAGAGCATAGAAATTGTTATGGCCAGCGTAGACAGACTACACATTTGTGCACTAAAGGTCAGATAAGATTTTAAAAGCTAGTGATTTTGTAAGTGTCTGAAGGAAGACAGAATGAAACTGTTGAGCTTCATAGACTTCATTTAAAAAAAATACAAGAGATAAGCAGGGACCTTTGTAAGTCATCAGGAATGAGTGTCAGCTGATTACTAAGGCACGCTTCACCTAGAGTAATCAATACGTTATAGTCCCAGCAAAAATTGTACCAGGAAGTGGTCAGATATGCTTAAAGAATGGTCAACACCTGAGGTAAATGTTTCTGGGTTCCTCTGAAATCTGATAGTCTGTCTTCAATACCAGTAATGCAGCAGTTCTATGCAAAGCAAGCCTGTCCTCTTATGTCCTACAACCATACTCCTTCTTATGCTCTTAAAACCACCAAATTCTCCTCACAGAGAATGCCACTCTCAAATGACTTCAGCAAAGGCCAGACATAACATGGAGAACGTATTAAAATTTAACATGTGTGTTTGGCAGAATTGTATTGGCATTTGTTTCCTATCTCCTCTCCATGCAGGCATCTTTTGCTGCCTTACAAAAATTCTGCAGAATACAAATGCTCTTAGGCACCTCAGAGCCAGTAACTGTACAGTTGAACCCAATCCATCTAACTGTTTCTAATAACAGGGAATACTGCAGTTGACATTTGGGACAGTCAAAGAGCTCTTTGGGCATGCTATATCACAGTGTGTAAGGAGCACAGGCTCAACAACACCACAAGCTTTCTGGCCTCAAAACAAGCTGCAAGCCTAAGATTGGCCATGCCTCTTGTGCAATGCACCTGCACCTGTAACAACCCTAAAGCAGCCACAGTTCAGTATATTGCAGCAATTCCTATTGACAACAGAGCTCTCCCAAAAAACCATGGCTTACTGGGCTGCTTCGTGTCAGCCCCATGACTTTTCCATCAGTTAAAATGGTTGTGGTTAGCTGCACTGCTGGATGGGGTGTACTTGGCCTCCATGTTTTCTTTCCAGGGTTCACAGCTCTCAGTCATTGCACCGCACAGAACATCATTCACTTACATCTTATCTCAGAGCCAGGCTGGATGAGGCCCCAAGCACTCTGATTGAGCTGTAGATCCCTGTTCATGGCAGGGAGCTGGACCAGATGACCTTCAATGCTCCCTTCCAAATCAAATGATTCTGTGATTAGGACAGGAATATGTACCACAGTTTTAAATGCCATGCTGGCCATTCCCTACACGCAACTATGGAGCAGGTGAAGTCTGTAAATTCTTGCCCTCGCTCCTGATATTTTGTTTACACATTTTGTCAGATCCTGCCTCTGTACCAGGTCTATGGCTATGAAGTCCCCTTACAATTCCCAGCAATGCTTGACTAATGTTCCTGCCCATTAACCCCCGTAAGCCTTAATGAGCTTAACTTCTATTTGTCCTTACTCATTTAATCCATAGACTATCACTAGTTCTTACAACACTCTGGATTTTACTCTTTTTTTTTTTTTTTTTAATTAGCGGTAGCTAATTAAAGAATAAATGCTGGATTAAAAAACAAGACCAGAAAAATCCCCAGAAAATAAATGCACGGAACTGCTGTACTGTACCAAGTTACTAGAAATGAAAAAACTTTTACTACATCCTTTTAAAAAGCAGCACTTTCAAAAGCTGTATATATACACCTGCATGTGTATACATATACTTACACCAGAGAACATAATTCATTCACCTTTTTCAACTGGGCAGGAGGAGAATGCTAGCATCCATGTACAACACAATCATAACCTTCATCCCAAGTGCCCATGAGAATTTTATGAATACAAATATTGTGCAGGAGTTATTTCAAACACTGCTGACATGAACGCAGCCATCTCTGCAGCAGTAGAAATAAAACCACCCAAGAGCACTTAGTAAATATTCATAGGGGCACACAAACAATAATAAAAGTAAAACAGAGTATAGTATTCCTACACGTAGGAAGACAGGACCAGCAGGTGCCTTATAATGGAACTAGGACTAGCAGCCTCATCTCACCATCTACATTCACACTGAGGAAAGATCTATGGCCAGGCAGCACTTAAGGATGTTCAGTGAGTCCTACAGGAACCAGTACACGGCTACTGAAATACTTGTTTCTTTTTTTAATGGCTGTATGGGAATTATTGAGTCATGGCCTGAACCACTGGTTGAGCAGCTGGGGAAAGGATCCAGTCTGCCCTGGAAGCACAGGTGAAGGCAATTCAGCTGTGTGACTAAAAGGGGTGGAGACTGGCTGCACCTCTCTTAGACCCATTTAAGGGCTGACTGTCACTGGGGAAGGATCTCTTTCTGGAGATCCCTCCCTGGTAGACCTTCCTCCTACAGACCTACAATCTTCTGATACAGGTTAGCAATCTCCTTCCCTTCCTTTATAGGACCTTTCTTCCATCGTTACACCACTGGTGGAACATCTTATCCCATCATATTGATCTGTCCAATTACTATAGTGAATGACCTTTTTTGTGATGTTGACTATAGAGCTCAGTTCAATTGCCTCTTGTATATTGCAATCTCAAACCATAGCTAAATGTTCCCAGAATTAGGGTACTTCCTTAGCTGTACTGCCAGAGATAAGATTCTTGTTGATGACAAAAATTACTTTATAATTTGAATATTATTTTTCTTAATTGCTATAAATGTCACTGCAGTTAATAGATGACATTCAGACTCTCAAAATTATTTAAAAGCCTAATGCCAATTTAGTTCCTTAATTCTCACTGGTTTCACTGGGAATTAGAGAGCAAAATACCTCTAAGAAGCTGGGCTCTAGTCCCTGTCAGAAAATTAACATATGCCCTCAAGAAAGATTATAAATTATTTGATATGAAATATGCCAAAGTCAATGGCTTTATGTTTTATAAATGGAAGATTTGTTTCAAAAGCTTGAAACCTTTTAAAGCAAGACACAGTTTCTGAAGACATGATCTCATTATTCCTTAGCCAGCTTCAGAGAATGCTATATCTATGCACACAGCCACAGATACTTTATCTATTTATCTACAGATATATATATATATAGATTTAGAAACAGGCTATTAACACTACATTGTATTCTAAGAGAATTTGAAAAAGGAATGTGTCCAACTCAATAGACTATGTCTCCAACTCTTATTTTGCTTAATGCTTTTCTAGATAGAACATTCTGTTTAACTCCAGAAAACATCGTGTTTAACAGTAAGTTCAGCTCCTATAAAAAATTATTGCAGGTCAGAGTAACTCAGATTGTATTGAATACATCTAAAACTAATTGATTTGACACAGAAGACCAAAACATCTCAATTCAACGTGACTACACAAAATATCAGAAAAAATACATAGAATATCTCCCAGAAGCACCAAGTTAGGCCAAGAAATAAGACAATGTGCTTTTTTTCCCAATTTTTGTTCAGAAATTTTCAGTTTTCTGCAACTCTGTTTCCAATAGAAAAAGAAAGGAAAGAGTTACCAGAAACCCTAAAATCTGACAGATGCTGGGGGTGAGCAGCAGTTGGACTGAGGGCTTTCTGTGCACATAATAACTTAGTGCTCCAATTACAAAGCTCCTCAAGTTGTAAAAGCAGCTAAGTATCTACTTTAGAGCTGCTGGAAAATGAACCTGTGTGAAATGCAAGTGGAAAAATTGTTAATTGAATTGTTAATTCAAGCAAAGGGAACAGACTCCTTAGCAGGAGATCACAGCCCCTTGTTGCTGGAATTTAGAAGTGGCATACTTAGAATAATTTAGGGTATTGAGTTATTTCTTTCTGAGGTATTGAGTTATTTCTATAGTCAGATTAGCAGGTTTTCTAGTGATCTGAAGCCCAGAAAGTCTCAGGGAGTAGAAGAAACTTGACAAAGATAATGGATAGGAAACATCAATGAAAGTTCAGGCATCTCAACATCCAGTCTTTGTTATAGTTTCTGAGCTTTGCTGACTATCGGGGAACATTAAAAAAATGAAATAAAATAAAAAAATCACTGCTTACAAAAACAGGCTCGAGCAAAGTCAGTAAACCTTCCATGAACAACTATCTGATAGAAAAAGCAGCACAGTTGCCACTTTTGCACTAAGGGCTGAGAAGTTTTTCCTGGTGTTTTGCTCTCTGCCGTCTTTCCCATTTGATTCATATTCCCTTCTTACCTTTCCTGTACTGTCAGCAGAAGCAGTGGCGTGCTTTCTTCTTTGCCTTCTGATGTAGACACAAACCATGTACAGCAAACTTCAGGTTTAGTCCAGCAGAGGGTTACAGAGCCACAGTATGATAGCCAGTCTGCAAAACACAAAATGACTGAACTCGTGCTGCAGCATGAAGCATGCCTAAATGTCATCTCCAGCTGGTGGGAAGATATTTACTGGAAGGGGAACCAGTGAACAAGAAGTCTTTTTGTTCATAAAGATCTTCATTCTCTTTATTTGGGGAAAAATCTCTGGTACACAAGAATTGGGTATGAAGGAAACAGGAAAAAACACGGGGTATGATATTGGATAATCAACGTAATAGCTAATTTACCTGTGTGAGGTTGGAATATTTTGGGTAATGACACCACAGACTAATTTTGATTATTGAAAATAATAGTAAAGATGTGGTTAAAAAAGGGATGTAAGATATTCTATTGCTTCTCTCAATCATATGGGCACCAAATGTTTGATTCCTTTGACATCCACCAGTAGAAGAGAGCAGTAAAAAGCGTAATTTCCATTTAACTACAAAGATAACTGCTGACCTATTAGAATTTGCAGAGTATGTTTATATTATTCAATTGTCTGAATTTCCTGAGGAGCACATATTTTCCAATCTCAGCTACAGTTCATATGAACTCTATTGCCTACCAACTAATTTACTGATATGGAGCTTTCAAGTGTTTAATTGGAAATATCTTCTCCTCTGCTGTCACTCCATTACACTGATACAGAAACTTCATACCAAATGCTTTCCATGAAAACAATTTCTAAATCAAATTATTTTTAATGTTGTGAGTTTTTTGCACATGAATGAGTACCTCAATTGAGATGTATAAAACCAATTAGACCCCCATTTATCTCTGCTAAGCAACTTGGTTCCGCTAATTTCTTTGGTCACCGTGTTTCACTTTGGAGCTCGCTCTGTTCATACATTCTGATGATTGAATTACTCAACATTTATTTTAGATTGCATCTATTTATTGGTGTCCTTCACAAACAGTTTCTTTTTTACGTAATTCTGAAAGCCCTGCAGTATTATTGCATGAAACTGCCGTAAAGAAAATGCATTAATTACTTGTACATGCTTGCATAATTCAAAAATTTTAAGCAATAAACATTTAGTAATTGTCAGAAAGAAGAAATGTACTTCATTGGTTTCCCATTAGCATAGTAAATCTTCCTTTCTGTAAAACATCTAAACACAATATCTGGTTGTTTGGCAGTTCTTTGTTTCTTTTCCGCCAATCACAGACAAATCAGGAATCACATTACAATTTTCTTTCATGCCCACAATGCACTCTCTTAAACTTCTATGTTCTTCTTTGTCACCTGGATACATTGGGCAATGACTCTTGCTCTGTGCCAGATAGAAGAGCATCTTTTTCTTTAGGTAGACTTTTTTTTTTTTTTTTTTTTTTTTTTTTTTTTAAATAAGAATACAGATCGCAAAAGAAGGAAGTTATCCTTCCAAAGCTGTGCCAGTTGTGTGCTGATACTCACTTTAAAAAGTTAAAAATAAGTGGTATCATACAGCAATAGCCAGATGCTGAAAAGTGATCTAGTCCTCAGGACAAAATATAATTATATCATGACTAGCAGGTGTTTTCTCAGCCTATTCATATTCATTTTCTGCAATGTAAGGGAGCCTGTTGCGTATGATCCACAAGTTCAGTCATTACAACTTTTCCTAATGTCATAAGGAATTGCATTCTAAGCATGCTGTTTTTCTAGGAATATGAACAGTGTTATTTCTTTTTACACACACACACATTTTGGAAGCATTCTATTTTAAATCTATATAATATGTGCGTATATTGTACATAATATTTTATTTACTTCAAGTTCTTTTAAATTCCTCCTCCTGCCTTTTTCACTGACTAGTGTTATTCATTATCACTTGAACCATGAACAATCAGCAAGAAAATGTGTATTAGTAGTTTTTATGAATTATAATTCAGCTGAGAAGAATTCAAAATATCTATGCATCATGAATTCATAACTCATTTATTTAAAACAAAGATGCCCCATTGGACATTTAATTTGTTACCTTAATCTTGCAGGCCAGTTGTTCTTAGCTTCTTGTCTCAGCCAGAATATCACATTTTGCTGGTGAGCAGGCTACAGAGATATCTAATCTTGTTGATCTCATGGTACAGTGGGCCTGATGATGAAGCATGAAAAAGATATAAACATCAGGAGGAACATTAATCTCATCTTAATTTTCCAGTCAGTATTTTCCAGATGTCCTAAAGAACATTAATATTTGATATCACATTGTGAATCATCATTACTGAAGTACAGAACACACATCTTCTCCATTGTTTGTTTAAAAAATAATTTAAAAAAAAAAAAAAAAAAAAAAAAAAAAGAGGAGCTCTTCTCCATGCTGAGGAAGCGGTAACACAGAAGTAAATACAGTCACTGCCCCTGGGCTCGCAGGAAGGTCTCACCTCATCCAACTTCAAAAACATGCAATAATACCAGGTAGTAAGGTTTTTTTGTTTATTCACATTGGGCTTAATACATCCCAAAGTTGGGGAGCACTATGCTACTTCGTATGATAGTAATAATAATTAATATTATCATTACAACGTAATTGTTGTAAAAACAATAGCAATCATATGCTGTCTGAGATTTCAAGATCTTTGGGCAAGGACCTGTTTCTTAGTTAATACACATATAGCAAAAGAGACCCTGGATCATGGTAAGAGAACTTCCTAGTGCAAACGAATATATGTATATATATTTTTGTTTCTAGGGACATCAGGATCTAAAATAGATCCTGTAGAATAAAACCAAATTCCTTTCTATGAATCTCCTGATGTCATCTTTTAAAGGGAGAGGAATCACCTTTGTGAAGTCACTATTACTAAATTAACTGGAAATGAACCAAAGAACTACAGCTGCATTTGAAGCCAGAATCATATATTGCTACAGAATTTTTGTTTGGTTCTGTAAGAAGGGAAAGTTTATCTTGGAGCCATGCAGAGAATAGCAAATTTACTATAACTGCCACAGACAAGTGGGCATGAAAAATGATCAGTTCCTAAAAGCTTTTAAAGCAGCAATGTTTGTCCTTCTCAGCTTTATGAAGGTCATAAGTCTCTGGTATGATCTAAGAAATGCTATAACAAGGTTCACTTAAATGCAGCTGTGTCCTGAATCTGTGCTCAGAGAGACAAAATTCCTTTACAGAAATAGGCACTCAACTTTTATCTCTGGGAGACAATATTCTGCAACAGACTTATTCAGAGATGCTGCCAACTTAAGACCACAGGCCAGTGGCAGAATGATATATAGGACTTTTCCTGCCAGAAAAGCACTGTCCAAAACTAACATAATCTTTATATACTATTTGCTTGGCTTAGAAATTTCTTTACTGTGGCTTCACGTGCTATACAGTGTGTACACAAACACACACACAAATATACATATGCATATTTTTATAGATAGGTACATATACAGACTATATGTATGCAGACGTATATACACGATTGATTTCACACGTTATCTAGGGCACTGTACAGGATGGCACAAACAAGGGACTGGGCAGGGATGTGCAACCCCTAGCGCAAAGAAATGACTGAGCTAAAGTTCACTTTTCTTTCAAGGAACTCACCTGCAGGAGGTCTTCCTTAGCATAACTAAGTCCTATGTTTGTGTTGACTTTACTATTCTGGACACAACCCGAGCAGAAGGAAGAACTGCTCATCTAGACCCCAGTCTACCCATCTGCATGACATGGGAAACTGGCAGCTCTCTGGGTCCCCACGCATTATTACTCTCTGTATCTTCAGAGATGTACAGCAAGACTAAAGCAAAGCCTACTGAAAGAACTTTCTAATGGGTAGCAGGGTTCCTCCCAGTATCCTCTGTGATGCAGTGGAGCAGATATCATGTATAGTGACTGATGTTCAGTGCCATTAGTTACGGTCCGTGGAATAACTCCTTGCAATATTATTCCAAAGGAATAGCTGGCAGCAAATAATTCACAAGTGCTGGAACTCGTACCAGCAAGAATAACATCAACTTGAACATCAGAATGGTCTTGGGTTATAGAACTCTTGCTATTTTGCCTCAAGCTACTTTTGGAATGAATTCCAGAAATAACCCCCTTTAGAAGGGGACCTCAGCTTGCTCTCTTCTCTGTGTGACCCCAATAAAAGTGGCCTCCTTTCTGGTGAATATCCAGAATATCTGGTTAATATCTCTGAACTCTTCTTCAAAATGCTCAATTATAGAAAATTCACAATCTTTCTAAGTAAAGACTGTAGGGTATTGTCAGTGTCAGTGCTCCTCGTCTTATTAATCTGTGTGTTGCAGTCAATATGAGGTGAAACTCGGAAAGTGGCTTTATCCAGCTGACTTCTTGAACTCAGAAGACACAAATATGTACATAATGTTAGAGAAAAAAGAAAACAAGTAGGAACCTCTTCTCTATCTACTTCTTCAATAGCAGTTTACCATCAGAAAATTCATGCGGATTTTATAAAGAAAAGATCTGCTCTGTAATTCCTTAATAGATGTAGCAAACGGGGCAGTGTGCAAAGTAATTTCCAAAATTCTTCCACTAATTTACTGGAGGGGTGGGGGGAGGGGATAGATATGTTTGACTAAACGCTATCTGCTTTCATACTTCATTCTTTTGAGGCTGTTTTGAAAATAGTGTCCCAAATGACCGAGGGAAGGTGAATTACAGTCACCTAAGGTAAATCCACAGAACATGGAACTGAAGATATACCTTTCCATCAACTTTAATGGATGTTAGATGAGATCCAGAAGCTTTAAAGTGAGTGTTTATAGTGCTGTTAGTACCTTGGAATAAAAAAATTATTTACTCAATCATGAATAATTACATGAGCTCAACCTTTCAAAATATGAAAAACATCTCTTTTTATCACCTACCACATTTATGGTTATACTAACGGAGTTGGGAAGTACATTATATAGTCCCAAACTAAAGTTTGATGATTAACCTTTCGAAAGAGCCATGTAAGAAGAAGCAATATGCTGTGATCTCCTGCATCTGAATAGCTTGAAATACAAAAATCCAGGTTAACTCATCAATGCCAAACATGCAACTGTTTTTTAATGCTTTGCTTTTACTTTAAAGGTACAGTGATATCTTATCATCACAGAGTAACTGCAAGAAGGAATGGATTCAAAGGATGCTTCATCTTCAGAGAGTGATATGAAGGAAATAATCATCATGCTGGCTCTAAGATAGACTTTTTCAATTAAAGACTTAGGCAAAGTAGGGACAGCGAGCAAATGGTGTCACTTCAAGAAAGCAGTTTAAAACTACTTTATATCCCACAATCACACTTGGATATCTAAATTAAGTTGGACTTCCCCTTCCTTCCTTCCTCTATTTCCTGGTAGTAACAACAGATAGTAGGGCATGGTGAACCAAGGGTAAAGCTTGCCATGCAGTACTCTGAGAGTAAAGATCTTCAATGTGTTGTTAGAGAACAGCTGAACTCTCCTAAACCTTCACCCTTCAATCCCTACTCATGAAATGAGGAGCATAATTGTAATGGTCGCTGTGGGATTAAAAAGATTTAATTTAAGAATAAAAGACTTATTCTGAAGACCAGGCTGGAAAAACACCTTAAATCAAACACAAAGGGTTTCTACACATTATAACTCACTTTTACCTCTTCCTTTTTTTCTTTATTTTTTATTTTTTCTTCTTTTTCAAATTCACAGTCTATATCAAAGGTATAAGACTCAGCTGGAACCTGAAACCAAATTCAAAACACAATAACAGTCACAGTTAGCTTGGGGGAACTGTGAGAAACAAGAACAAAATCACACTTTCTGACAAGTAGGGATTCACAAATCAATGGAGGCAGAAAGAAAGCAGCACGAAGCTCACTTTGGAAGTCTGTGCTACAATTTGACGACAGGGAGGCTGCCTCATCATTTAGCCATTCCTCCAGGTATAGTAAACTTCGAAGGACTGCAGAATCACTAAGTATATCAAATACTACAGCTATATTTAAAACAAACAAATAATAAAAACCAAAAAAAAAACCAAAAAACAAAAAACTACAAACCCTAAAACTCTGAACAACAAATACACAGGCCAAAAATAACAGCTTTCTAGTTTCAAATCCAATATAAATGAGGGTAGGTTTTTGTTGGGTCATCCTCAAGACTTTAGGGGATCAGCTTGAAAATTTGCTTTGGAGAACACAACAACATGAAGTACAACTAAGGTATGAAAAAAAGGCTGAAAAAAATATGCGTCAATCACCTGCTGGCTCTTAATACCATTTCTGAGCATATCTGAAATTCCTTTTGCCACTGAATGCAGCAAACACTTTCAATGTCTCTCTCGTGGAGCCAGGATCTCAAGATTAAGAATATAGTAAAAATACATTCATAATACTGCTAATGTATTTCTGGTACTAATAAACTAATAGATTGTTAATATCACTCTTAATCTCCCCCTGGAAGTCTTCAGAAAATGAGAAGATGTAGCACTGAGGGACACAGTTTAGTGGGCATGGCGATGATGAGTTGATGATTGGACTAGATGATCTTAGTGGTCTTTCCAACCTTAAAGATTCTATGATTCAAGTGGCAATGCAGTTGCCACTGTGTAAATGTGTGCCTGTCAATCAGTAGAGTAAAACCAAGACATTTCAGTGTACTTCAGAATAAGGGGAAAAAAACCAGTATTTTAAAATATAATTTGCAATTACACTGTTAAAAATTTTTTTTAGCAAAATATGAAGGCTAATTTTAAGACTGCATGGACTGCTTTGAGTCACAGTCACAGTTGTGAGGTACTTCTTCAGAGGGACAAAGTCTCGTATCTGATAGAACTTCAATAAGCATTTGGGCGCTTCACACATATCAATTCATTTCAAAAGAACAAACCAATGAGAATGGAAGAGGCAAATTAAGTAAACTCAGATCAGTTCAGCTATACTGACATCCTGATTTTATCATTGGGAAAATATATGAAGTTTGATGATTAAGTCATAACTGAAGTAAGCATCAAATGTAAGTGCTAGGAAACATTTCAGCATGAGACAAAAATACTATACTAAGCCATGGAACATATTTAGAAGAGAATTGCAAATATATGTTATGGTTGTTTGTTTTTTTTTTCCTGACGTGCTCAGGTGTTAATATAAAGATATAAGTATCATGAGCACTTCTTTCTTTTCCCTAAACACAAGAGCAATAAACAATAATCGCTACAAAGTACTCCCAATACCTCCTAGAGATGAACAAATCTACAATTACAAGAACAGTAATAATAAAGAATGAAAAAAATTCTGCAGCTCTCTCTTGAGGTCAGAAAAGTCAGGCAGTAAACAGCAATCTACTCTTACAAAAGGAGTGTTAAGAAAAGAAAGATAGCTCAATATATGCCTAATTTATACCAGTCACAAGCCAGTGCGTGTTCATTCTTGCACACTTATATACAAGCACATAGACATATTAAGTGTTGCTAGGAAAAATGAAAAATAACTAGTTTCCTTTCCTGTTGTTGAGAGGAACAAGAACCTGTGTCAAAATTGAGATTTTGGAGCTCTCTACAATCAGCTCTGAAGCGGTTGCTTGCAGGCAAAAGAGCCCATTGTGTGACCTCGCCAAGAATTATCGTGGTATGGGAATAAAGAAAATCACTGACACAAGAAAAATGTGCATTTGTTTGCTTTAGAGCTCACATAGTTTACAGCAGCAGAAGGCCAAGTGCATAAAATTCAAGACACTGATGCTGTGCCTGATCAAATGAAAATTTCATGTCAGATAAATGCTTGAGTGAGTCAGCTTGGTTTTATTTCCACTTTCTAGAGTATCCAGCAAGAGATGGCTGGTGCCATCAGTGCAAGTTGCCACCAAAAATCAGCACACAAGGAAAATTTACCATGGTACTTAAGCTACTTCCTTGGATTGAACAGGGAATGTCAGAATTTCCCAGTCTGGATAATGATTGCGTAGATGATGAGTAAGTCAGGCTGTAACTGAAGTTCATGTTGGAATTATGCCACCTTTATCCTTTTAAGAATCCCTCTTTTCTAGCTTCTTTTCCCCCCTATTTTCCTCAAGCCATTTGGTATACACCCAAAGGTGCAGCTTTACAGGCCAAGAAGGGAAGACACTCCATTTCTGGTAGAGATTCCTGAAACCAAGCATATGTGCTTTGTGTTTGGTAGGAAGATAATAGCTTTACCATTTCAGAAGACTTTTGCATCCCAGAATCTGCTTCTGGGAAATGTTTGCAGTATATTATAATTATCTGCTTTGCGGTTTTGTATTTTTATCCAAGAAGTAAACATGGGAAGATGGTTAACTCTCACACTTGTTTCATTTCATCAGAAAATCCCTTTCATCTCTCAGACATATTCTAAATGTTTCTAGCCTTAACAAACCGTTGGACTAGACACTTTGCTGATAACCTGTCACCTGCTTCTTGCCACACTTTTTGCCTCTGATAAATAGAAATTAGCACCCAATCACATGCAAAGCTATATTAATGATTTTGACATTTCATATACCGTACCTCGTTTCACCTACACGAATCTACCATCTGAGTGTGAAAAGAAATTACTTCTTCCTGTTCTCTGTTCTGGCTCACATACATTATATAATATTTTGTTGGAATCTAGCTAATTTGAAAGGATAGAGTAGGATAAACTCGAGAATGGCCTCAAGACCAGACATGTTACATCCTACACATTGAGCTATTGACAGCGTTCATAGTTGAACCCCTCTGGGCTACCTAACAGTTAGCAGATATTTTAGCATCCCACATCTCTTCATTTCTTTCTCACAATGTTCCCTGTGAGATAAGTTGCATTTTTCAGTTAAAAAAAAAGGCAAACTAAACTATTCAAACTAAACTAAACTATTCAGACAAGAATCCAAGATCTTTTAAATTCTGTTGAACTATTTGGGGGGAGTTCTAGTCTTTTGTCCCTCTAAGACTAGGAAACCACCATTCAATTTCCATTATATCTACGTAGTTTATATATCTATGTAGTTTATGCCCATTTTAAAAAACATTAACATTGCCTGCCTTTTTGTTGATTTCTGGATTTTTTTTTCTTTTTTTTTTTTCCCCTCAAGGTAAGTAAATAAAGCATGTACTGTAAGGAAATATGGGAATATCCATCACCTTTTTCTGTTGTTCCTAGTGTCAGGGAACCAAACACCTTCACCTATGATGCCTTTAGTAGAGTTTGAGTTTGCAGAGCCAGTGCACTCTATCAACTGTATCCATGCTGCTGGACACAACTGAGTGAGTTGTACAACTACTGCTAGATAGGACTGAGTTGGCAAGCAGACTGGTCTCACTATTGGGATGCTCCCATACCAAAATGAAGCCTCCGTGTGCACAATGGGGCTAAGCGTAGCCTCGGAGTAAAGCACATCACTAGCTAACATCTCCATATATACCTTATCTAGAAGAGGAATTGAAAAAACAGCTTGAACTATTAGTGGAAACCCTCAGCAAAACAAACCAGCATCCTTTCTACAACACTGGGCTGTAACTATAAAAGCTAATGTCTGTTTTATAATCCACCATAATAATCATTCGTGATGGAACTTCAAGCTCTTTTTTTCTTTTTTTTTTCTTTTTTTTTTTTTTTTCATAATCTAATATGTGCGTGTGTTAAAACCAAATAAAATCTTGAGTCATGACCAACAGTAACATTACAGAAACAAAGAAATCAAAATTGAGTGAAACAGCATAGTCAAAATGCCCCCATTTCACATGTACCCAGAGATTAGGCTGCTCTTCACAATGTGATAGAGTGAAAGTTAGTGCAGTACCATGCAGATCTCAGCTCCACAGAAGGTACATGCATACCCCTAGATAAATGACCCTCATCCAAAACAGTACCTAAATATCAAAGAAGACTGCAGCCTTGGAAACTTGTGTCTGTGAGGATCTGGGAGTCATTAAAATATGTCTAAATTCTCTAAATTCTGTTAAGAATAAGGTGAGTTGATTTTTTCTTACCTTTTTCCATTGCTTTCTTATCTTCTCATATCCTATCATCTGTAGACCGGGACTCCTCCCTCCTGTATGCACATGGAATCTCATCTTCACTTATCTTCACTTCTCAAGGCCTGCATACATCGATTAAACAAAATCAGTGTCATTACTGTATTGCATCTTTCTGCACACTAATAGACACTAATGGTTCTTCATTCTTTCTTCTCTATCCTGGTTTCCTAAGCACAGAAATCTCCTGTGTTTATCTGTCATTTACAAGCCCATCCTCCTTGGTAATATTTTACCCTGCTGACTATTTTCCATCAAATTTGTCAGAGCTGAATGTAAAATTTTCCTACAAATTCCATGATCAGATAAATGATGGAGATCCAAAAATAATTCCACCTTATTTCTAGAATTATCTTAGCTTTACTAGGAATGTTGCCTCAATCATATGTCAGGCTCAAATATGATCTCAAAGGTAGATTACTCAACCTAGTCAAGAAACTAATTACATCAGAACTCTACAAATACATAAATTGCAGGTACTTTGCAATGTAAACGAAACCAATCACACCTTCAAAATACCTGAATGTTTCAATTTATTTTATTTTTAGTTAGAAACAAGGTTCATAGATCCTGCTGTATGAGAACAAATTGAATGAAACAAACATAAACATTCCATAAAGAGGTCTAGAGAAAAACAACATTATTAAATTCAGGGGTTCTGAAACAAAAGAAAGCCAAAACAAGCTATGTGAGAAAACCATTTATCTAGGCCAACCCAATCTTGCAAGAAAGGAAAGCTCCAAAAGGCATTAATTCCACTTCTGTATTATTATCCTCGAAATACATCACTGCAATTTGAACATAAAAAATGCCTCCAACAAGCTTGGAGAGTAACATGTTGACAAAGAAATATGTGTTATTAGTTTGAGCTGCTAGGTCACCTGTGGGCCAGCAATATGAACAACCTGGCAAATTTAGCCAAAAATTAAGCGAGCAGTTCAGACTATAGGCAGAGTAGGAGCGGGGGGATAAAAGAATCACTAATGTAATGAAGAAGGACAGAAAATGAATACCAGGTTGAGAAGAAACACGTTTGTGGAACAGGTGTGTCAAGAGAAATAGCTGCATAGTTCATCTAAATGACAATATGAATGCTCTCTCCATGGGCTCCATTTCTTTCTTTGTCTTATATATTTATTTTTTTCTGATGTTCTTGCTTACAGCAAGTTGCTAGAAGGGAAACAGTATAAACCAATGAATGACTACCTGAGTGGTCTTTTAAACCTTCAGACCTAAAAGTATTCCCCTCTCCAGAGGCAACCCAGAAAATAAAAAACAATTATTTTAGGTAGTGTGGTAGTATGGTAGAGAAAAATGTAACACGTTTGCAGTTTTGTGCTCAACCCTTGTTAATAGACAGTTTTAAAGGTGAAAAATTATAAATTATTAAGTTATCTGTGGGGCTGCTGTAATCATGCACTTATTTTCAATTGATTATTATTTTTTGCTATTTCTCAATGACCTGCCAACTGTCTAAAGGACCCCATATATCTTATTTCAGCTCCTTCAGACTGTACTCTGATGGGGTTTTTTGTTAGATACATGGTAGCAGGGAGAAGACTTCAGGAGAAAAAATGCAGGAAATCTTTCAGTGTTTCTATTTGAAAGAAAAGCAGCCTAGACCAACAGTATTCTGGGCTTCATCATAAGAGGGGTGGTCAGCAAGAAGAGAGAGGGGATTGTCCCCTTCTACTCTGCCCCCTGAGGCCCCATCTGGAGTACTGCATCCCAGTTTGGGGCCCCCAGAACAAGAAGGATATGGAGCTGTTGGACCAGGTCCAGAGAAGGGTCAAGAAGATGATCAGAGGGCTGGAGTACCTCTCCTATGAAAAAAAAAAGGTTGAAAGAGTTTGACTTGCTTAGCTTGGAGAAGACGTGGAGGAGGCCTGTCAGCAGCTTTCAAGCAAGAGATGGAACTGGATGATCTTTGAGTTCCCTTCCAACCTAAGTTGCTGAATGATTCTGTGAAAAGCATTTAGAAACATGGAAATATTGGAATTCACTTATAGGTAAACCCCCTGGGGCTAGAAAGCACTATAACATGCATTTCACTTCACATCTATATTACATGTGGCAATGTCTGTATCCAGCACGGACTAGTGCTGATGGCTCCTATCTGTTCAAAGATAATCAATGAGGGTTTGTAGGCTTCTGTTTCCTCCATCCTAATGTCAAAAATAGCTAAATGTAACAAGGAGAGGGATACAGCAAAGTAGGAGCAATGGATTTATGAGAAGAATCTTACTCTGAGGGTCAATCACATGAGTCCCCTTGAAGGATCCTAGAAAAGCTTCAGCAATGATCATGATGCTGCATAAAGAAGAGTAGCAAAGCCAGTGAATGGGCTAGAAAACAAGACTTTTGAGAATTGACTGGGGAAATTGTTAAGTCTGAATTGTTAAGTCACCATCACTCCAAACAACCATGTGAAAGGGGGTTGCAGGAGGAAAGGAGGGTACCAGTGGATTTTTGTTTTCTATCTAGGTGATTCCATGATTCTATGAAAAGTATGGGATTCCTTGAAGAGTTCTCAAGTTCTAAAACAAAACAAAGTGAAAACAAACAAATCTGGAACCTGTAAATACATTTAATTTCAGGAAAATTTTTCTTTGAGATGTGTATGTATTTTATTCTAATATAGAACTGAATATCCAGCTTATAAACCATAGACGTTACCAGGGCTATTCAAAGTGTGCTGAAAGCTGACTGAATGATATTACCACATTAACAGAAATAGCACATGAACTGCTTTTGAAAAATCTGATCTCCAAAGCCAACCAGAGTGCTTAATCTATTCCTCAAATCCAACATGAGTTTGTGATCCAAATTATATACTATTATTTGATATATTATTATATCGAATTTTTAAGCAACCCTCACCATAAAATTCAGTATTCTTCCACAGCCTTATGAACATTCTCCCTAGAAATATTTCCTTACCTTCAGACCATTTCTAACTGTTCTAGCCTTACTTTCAACTGGTTTTGGTGTCTAGGCAGAAGAGGCATTAGAAAGCCCTCAAGAAAATTCCCTGCTAGGCATTGAGTACTACCACAGTTGCCCACTGTACTGAAATGAATGTAGAGGGGAAAAAAAAAAAAAAAAGCAAAAGCTTTCCATTCAATGACACAATGAAATGAAGCAGAATGTTGAGAAAGTGTGACATCAAATTTGTCCACACTTCTCTTAAGTCATCCTTTATATATGTCCTTTTTTTTTTTCTTTTTTTTTTTTTTTTTTCTCCTCCCTAAACAAGATGAAAAGCCAAGAACTGGGTTGATTCACAATGTCTGCATTGATTCCTGCTAGGATGTAGTAACCATACATCGGCAAGATCACACATACAGTTTGGATGCGAAACAAAAGCAATCTCAGCTTAGTCATATTGAGGAAGTGAAAAAAAGATAAGTCTTTACAATCATATTTGCAAGTTTAGCTGCTATTGCCTGCTAGTCTCAAATTTTAATGTTGACAATCACACGAGTGCCACAGCAACATGCCACAGACCCGTACACAAGGCTCAGACACAGCTGAAATGGTAAAGTCCATAGAAACTGCAGTGCATAAAAGCTTTTTCCTCACATGTCGTTTCCAAATAGCGATACCTCTTCAAGACAAGCCTGAACATGAGCAGATCAATAAAACAGGTATACGAACTACATGAACTAGTAAAGGAGGTTCCAGATTGGCCCATATTTCTAGCCCAGCTGTCACGTGACATGAAAATAGAATTTTACTCCAGAGCACACTAAGAGAGGATTTACCAGGTCAGCTAAGGCAGCTACGAGTTTGCAGTTCCTTTCATCTCACAACAAAGGCAGAAGGAGCATATTTCTTGTGAGCTACTATGCTGTTGAAGAGCATGTAGACAGCAGAAGAGGAAAGATTAGGCTGAAACAACCCTATAGAAAGTATGTGTGATGCTACAGAGCTAGGAACATTGGTTGTGCAGCGCAACAGCCTTTCCTAACTTGTAGTACCAAAGATAAATTAGAACTGGCAAATATTCAGGGAAGAGTAACAGTGTATAGTAAATATGTAGAAAATTCTTAGAATGAAAAAAAAACCAAACAACCATGGAAACAGGAGGAACAAGAAGAAGATGGGAACTGGTTGTTCAGTCCTCCACCAGTATTAAAATTAGAGCATACTATATGAACCAACTCAGTGCCAAGCTCAAACCAAACACAAAAAGAGATTTGTAGCTGCTCAGGACATAGAGCACTTCTAGAACATGTTGCAGTTGTTAAAATATGTTAAATAGCAGATTGGATAAATTCAAACCAGATCATACACTGACAATTAGAAATATATAGAAATCACATGTGGATAACAGAATCTCTGAGCTTAAAAGAGCCAGCATTATAGAAAACACTGGGGAAGAGACATACGTGCTTATTCTGTTTTTCATCTGCTCTAGATATTTACTTGTAAGCACAGTTAGAGACTGTGCTAGAAGGATTTATTTTTTCCTTTTTTAATCTGACACACTACATCTTTTCATACATTCAAAGAGTGTGGCCACAACCAGGGTAGCTTCAATGCAAATGCCAGCAGGGCTGTGCTGACTGGGAAGGTCGGAGAAGTGCTGAGATGAAACTCACTTTCTTCACCCCAGTGAGCTCAACCTTGGAGTGAATCTGGAGAAGTTTCCTCATCACTGACAAAGCAAGTTCAGATATTTCTTGCTGTCATGCTTTCCAGCTGGCATGTAATCTCCCCGCTCCCTTTCAAATGACTTTTTAAAACATTGCTTTGCAGCCATTGTTTCAGTCCCATTCAGACCCATTCGCCTGGCAAGAGGGAACACTGGAGTTGGATAGAAGCTGCAAGTGGATTGGGAAATGCAGAACTAACAAAAATTTGGTATGGCGTTTTTTCACATGTGGGTTTTTGTTTGTTTGTTTGTTTGTTATTGCTTTTTTTTTTCCCCTCAGGTTGTTGACAGAAAGCACTGCCTGTAACAATTCTGTGCCTAATTTGATTTTCAAGCTGTTAGAGACCTGGCACAGGCCAGCAGGTTCTGTCAGTGTTGAGGAATTTTTTTTTCCAAGAGACTAAATAA